GTTCGGTTAGAACTTATTTGTGATTAAGCCTTTTTACAATTTTGAGAATGCCACAGTATGAAAGTAACAATTTTTTAATAATGCTCAAAGATAAATGTATTTCATGCCCCTTGATTGCGGGCAAACAGATTAATCAGAGAACGATCCCTTCTGTTCAGAGACAGTTGTTTCTAAAACACCTATTTGTGGTGTTGTACAACTGTTCAATAAAAAGGCATATGGATATAAACATCTTGCAGCTTTTATCCATAAATTAAGTATGATAAGATTTTAAGAAGTAGACTACTTTTAACCTTACATTTTAACTTAATGTAAAATCTTTGTTGCTTTATAAGATGATACAATTGTAATGAAAGATTATTGTTGGTATTAGTTTTGGAGGGTATTGCATAGTATTTACACAAAATATTTCGAAAATATTTTGGGGTACCATTCATTTGGAGGGATATTTGGACCATCTTTTAGTTTTAAATTTTTAAAGAAATAAGTAGTTATTGACACATTAGTAAGCTGTTACTCATAAAGTAATGAATGAATTATTAATTAGATAGATTATACAGTAGAACCTCTAACATACGAATGTCCCAACATAAGTACATTTTAACTTACAAATCCTCACTCAGCCTAGAGTGATGGTTTGACATCCTGTTTTGACCTACGAACAGTGCAAAAAAGGCCACTTTGCCCCCTAACCCAGTTCTAACAGCAAAGCAGAGAAAAACAAAACCTCGACTGGATTCCTAGCTGGAGTACCTCTGGCTCTTCATGCAATGCAGAAACTCCAGCTCCATGTGATTGCTTCCCCGAACGTTCTGGGAGAAATCCAATCTGGAGATTCCACTCCAGATATTGCAGTCCACCCTAGTGTATGTAGCAGAGCCGCAGCCTAAACAGTGAATACAGGGTTTCCAGGAGACTGGCGCAGCCATTGTACTTTGTGGCTCAGTTCCTTAACCTGCGTGCCTTTGCCTGCGTGCTCTTCTCCACTTTGGGAGATTGTTGTCCACTGAGGAAATTTGGGTTAGATCACTTGTGTGCTTTTTATTCCTGGTACTGTATGTTTTGCTTCAAGGAGAAAGAGAGAAAGAGAGAGAGAGCAAAAACGAGAGAGGGAAGAAAGAAGGCTGGCATTACAATATGACGAAAATGATGCTTTTTTGCCTTGCTGTCACAGTGGCCAACACATATTTTGTTGCCTCAAATGTCCTTCTTGTCGCAGTGGTTGTATGAAACCAAGCACTGCTTATCTTTGAACATTTTATACATTATTTATAATTTATAAAGTACATTTTCTTATTTAAAAACACATTAAAATGGGGTGGTGTTCAGGATGCCAGGACGGATTAATAGCAACCCAATGCATTTAAATGTGAAAATTTGCTTTGAGATAAGAATATTTTGACTCAAGAACATAGTCATGGAATTACTTTCTTAAGTAAAGGCGTTACCGTATATAATTATATTTTGGGGTAATATGTGGTGTGTGCTTGCTCTAGGAAATAGTAATTGGATACGGCTTCTCACATGCCAGTCTTAGGAATAGATGTCAAAAAATATCTGCAATTATGTAACTATTTGCATATAGCAAACTGTTTTGCATTTTATCATGCTTTGAAACTACTTTTAACGCCTAATATTGTATATTATATCAAAATCAGGTTTGTTTATTCACTAATGTTACTTAATGTTTAAAAATATTGCAAACTTTACTAAATCTTCATTTGTAAATATGTGCTTTCGATATAGCTATTGAGCCCAATGAGGAGCTGGGTATGTTCAGCATAGACAAAAGAAAGTTTGAGAGAGGACATAATAAAAAAATAAGTTTCCCAGTTTCCAGCAGACCTCACCTCTGAGGATGCTTGCCATAGATGCAGGCGAAACGTCAGGAGAAATGCCTCTAGAACATGGCCATATAGCCCGAAAAAACCCACAAGAACTGAGTGATTCCAGCCATGAAAGCCTTCGACAATACAAAAAAATAAGTATTTGAAAGGATGACACATTGATGAGAGGGCAAGCTTGTTTTCTACTTTTCTAGAGACAAGGGCACAGAGCAATTGATTCAAATTGTAGAAAAAGATATCCCAACTGATGGTATGACCTGGTCAACCATGGAATATCCTGCCTTAGAGTAGTGGAGTCTCCTTCTCTGGAGGTTTTTAAGCAGAAGCTGGATGGCCATCTTATTTTTGTCAGCTGGGATCCTGGAAGGGACGTTGAAGCATGAAATAAAAATTGGCATAGAGGGAATGAGCAAAGGAACAGAAATTGAGTGTGACAATGTGTACATATACACATACCTATACAATATTTATTCCACTCATAAGATATTATTCCTCTTGGATTCCATGAAGTGTAAAGACTGTCATTATTTTAAGTCTTACATACTTCTTCCACAAAACTGACACTGTGCTGTCTCACTTGGGTGGTTGAGAGAGGTTCAACGAAATATGTTTTCTCATGTGACCACCTTGAGTAGTCTCCTCAGAGGTATTCAAAATGGCCAATATTTTAATCTGCTATTTTTTCTTGTATTTTAAAATAAGCTTTTCGTTTTAATACAACTAAAGACTTGGCAAGTTCATTCACACACTCACAATTTTGTGAAGGCAAAGGAAGGGAAAATACGAAAAACGTAAATATTTTCGAAATGCTTAATTCCTTGACCATATATTGCATTTTTCCTTACTTCAACTGCTAGATATTTTCTAAAATGCATTGGTATAATGGCTAGAGTTACACAAGTGGCAATGCATGAAGAAGCAGAAACAATGATAGAAAAATAAAGATAAGATGAAGTAAAGGAGAGTTGGGAAATGATAAGATAGTAAATGCTGTTGTCAATATAAAAAGCTCACACAAGAGAGGTCTGAAGGTAAACAAAATATGAGGAAAGGAAGAATTTAACTGACTAAAAATATATGATGACAGGTACCATGATGCTAAGTACCGCAGTGCTGGCTTCCCCTTCTTCTACCAATTTCATATAAGTTGCCCATTTCTCTTTAATTTTTTTCTCTTTTGTCCTCTTCTGAACCTTCTTGGGTTATACATGCAATAATATCTGATTGCACCTGCTCAAATAAATAGTTATTCCAATTTTCCATATTCCTTTTTTTTCACCTCTCCATCGTCAGGCTATTACCGCCTTTCCTGCTAAAATCATTGCTTTAAATACGTCTTGATTCTTCGCAGCAATGTTTTTATTCCCTGTAATTGCCATCAACATAAATTCCATATTAACTTGAATTGTTATTTTGAAAAGTTTCCCCATTTTAAAAATGATCTTATCCCAAAAAGTTGTTGCATTTAAGCAGTCCCACCACATTTGTGCATACCAGCCTTTCTCTACTTTACAATGCCAACACATTGGGTTTAGTCTTGTTCCCATATTTGCTAATTGAGCTGATGTCCTGTACCATTTCCAGAGATTCAATCAAAGCTCAGAAGATTTCTTGTAAGAAGAATAAACATAAGATTCCAAAGCCACCCATAAGTGAGCAACAAGATAAGATTCTAGGACTCAAAGCATAATTCCACCATTGCATAGTCATGGATGGCACTTCATTATATTCTGGAATTTTCCAAGCTCTGGATGCAAGAGGCGGCTGATGAACCACCTTGAGTACAGAATATTATTTGAGAACACAGAAATGCTGGACCACTTTAACAACCACCATGTCATACTGTACAGAGAAGCCATTGAAATCCACAAGCATGTGGACAATTTCAACAGAAAGAAGGAAATCATGAAAATGAACAAAAATCTGACTACCAATATTTTAAGAAAACCCTCTAAAATCAGGACAGTAAATAAAGAACAACACTAAGAAAACAGGGGAATTCCAGACATGAACACCTCCCCAGGCAGGAAGCAGCCAATCTTTGAAGCTGCAAGGCCATTCAGTGGTAATCAAGGTGGCCAATTGCAACATTCACACCTGCCTCAAACAGACAAGAGTTCTTTCTCCCACCCTGGACGTTCCACAGATATATAAACTTCGCTTGCCTAGTTTCCAACAGATCCATCAACCTCTGAGGATGCCTGCCATAGATGTGAGTGAAACGTCAGGAGAGAATGATTCTGGAACATAGCCATACAGCCTGGAAAACACACAACAATCAGTAGCAGCAGCAGTAAAGATGTGGGTGGTGGACTGTGTGCAAACTCATGAGCCAATGTATCCATAGCTGTAATCCAAATTGTGCTATTCATATTCATCTTGATCACAATCTAATAACCACATATCTAGAAGGGATCTCTTTTGAACAGAAGAGCAATTTCTGATTAGACATCGTAAATAATCACAATGTGCAATCACAGAGTTCAATTATACTTTTGTCTTTTAATTTATACATACACACACACACACACACACACACACTTAAAAACAGTATTTTCACTCAAATTCCTTATTTTTGCATGCTCAGGTGGCTTAAAATGTACCAATTTTGACTTTATTCTTCACATATTAATGACATAATATTTATATTCCCAGTACAAAACTTTATTGGCCACCTTATATTTTAGTTTTAGAGTATTGCTTATAACAGTCATTGTCAGCCACAGCATCTGTGGCAATTCCTCAGTGACTCTCACAGTGTCTGCAAAGCATGCGTGTTTAGAGCATATACCAAATGGCACGAAAGAGAAGGGAAATGTTTTTTTAAGTTCAAGGAAAATGTAAGGAATAAGTGTAGCAGACTGAATTTTCAAATGACATTTGGTGTTCTCAGTTTATAAAAAGCTATAGAACATTAAGCAATTAATCTCTGAATAGCAGCGTTCCTCGCTCTCTGTTCTTTTAAGATAAACTATAAATTTAGGCTGCCTCACCTTTTCATTAGATTCAAAATAACTGAAGCACACAATTCTGAGCTAATTTTCCTTTTCCCCCTCTCCTTCACTGAATTACTTTTGGTCTCCATTTTTCTTCTTTTGTAGTTAGACGAGGATGGATTAGAATTAGGTTGCAGCACAGATTGTGAAAATCTCCCAGCATCCTCTTCCTGCAGAGGCATCATCTACCAACAGTGCTTTAGCTGCAGCAATTCAACTGACATTTCTTTTTACATTCTGATATGGAAGACTCCCGTGATGACAGCTCCTGCCGTCTCAACTTTTAACTATATATTTTCCAGTTTGATAAGCAATAAGCTTGTGGGGACAGTGGAACAGAACAAGGAAATGGAATATTCTCTGGAATTGTTTTTGTTCATTTTTATGTGTCTAGAAGAAACAATACACATCTGAAAGAGGCATAGATTCCTATAGCAACTGCAATTATTCATCTAAAGTTACCTAATTTAATTCTGTGAGTATATTATGTCTTGTCTGCTAATTAGCTTCTAAAGTGGTTTGCATAAATCACTGCATTTGCAATAATTTTATGGAAAAATAGCTTTGTATGGTTAGTTATTAAAGCATGTATAATGCTTTGTAATGAAATGCGCAGGTCCAGCATGTCTTTGCAGATTTATGGGGAAGATTAAGATTCTGAATTATTTCAGAAATGATTTATTTTTCTTTTGCCTTATTGAACTGTTTCTTGTCCTTGTCAGTGTGCGCCTAGTGATGTCAATGAATGACATTGTAGATTGCAGAATACTGCAGGATGTGTATATTTGGGATTTCTTTGTGAAACGGTCATAACATAAAATAAAATTGTTTGTAGTTAGATACATTACACACTCTAAAATGATAGTTTTAGAGTGTGTAATGATTGTGATATTTTTGGTTTTATTTGCATGTGGTCTCACTTATTCATTATGAATCTGTGGTCTGAAAAAATAGTAAACTGAGATAATACTTATAGGTAGGGGTGTGTGTGTGTGTGTGTGTGTGTGTGTGTGTGTGTGTGTGTGTGTATATATATATATATATATATATATATATATTATTCGAGGTTGTTGTAATGGTTACGTAAGCTTCAGGTATAACAAATTTCCTGTGATTCCCCAGTAATTTATATGAAGCCCTAGAAAAACTATTAATCATGAATCTGGATCTGAGCCAACCTTCGAATGACGCAGTCCCAGTACCATGAACATCTGGCCTGGTTTTGTAGCATCCTGTGCTAACGGGATTTTCTTCCCTTTAAAGAAATTCTGACATGAGTTGAGCTGTGAGAATTTTTCCTTCAGAGCTGTTCATCAATATTAATGTAAGCCTGCTTTTGTTGTTTTAGCTTTATTCTTAATTTTCTGTTATTCTTAATTGACATACTAAGTTTGCATGTAGGTATGTTGTTATTGCTGAAAATGTTTGATACTGGTTGGGTATCCCTCATCTAAAATTATTGGGACCAGATGTGTTTTGGATGTCGGATTTATTCAGATTTTGGAATGTCTTTATTTCCATATCTGTACATAAAGAGAGTAATTATATACATAATATTTTGATCATTTTGTGCATGAAGCAAACTGTGTACATTGATCAGAAAGCAAAGGTGTCACTATCTCATTTACACATGTGGACATTTTTTGATTTTAGAATTTCAGTTAAGGAATGTTCAACCTGTATTACTGGAAGATAGACAGTTTTTTTGTGCAATTGGTCCTGTAACAATTGTTTGGTCTCTTTGTTGTGGTTTAAAGATCAACAAACCTCTGTGTGTGTCTTCTTCTATGTAATGAGGGCTACAGAACTCACACAGCATTATTGTCACTAAAGAAAGTGCTAAAGTAATACTAGTGTTGTATGAAAATATTTGAGGAGCTCAGACTTTGTGGGCTGACTTGACCAGTACCATTCAGGCTAAAATACAGACCAGAATGTAGTTTTCCAAAACATCCTGAATTGCCTATAGCAGGAATTCTCAAACTCTTTCAGCCATGGAGCCTTTTTTGAAACAAAAATTTCTTGTGTTGCCCAAGAAATGTTTATATATTATATTATATATAATGTATATATATATATCAGGCATGGGGTGAGCCACCGACAGATGGATGGAGAGTGTTTGCATAAACCGCCCTGAGTCTGTGAACCTGCCTGAGTAAATTGTGAACTGTCCTGAGTCCCCTTTCGGGTTGAAAAGGGCGACATACAAATATCGCAAATAAATAAAAATAATAAATAGAATAATTCACACAGTACAAGAAAGAAAGAAAGAAAGAAAGAAAGAAAGAAAGAAAGAAAGAAAGAAAGAACAATACAATATTTAAAATGAACAATTTTAGCCAACATAAACTTAACAGTATTTCAGTGGAAGGACCCCTGGGGCCATCCAGTCCAACCCCCTTCTGCTATGCAGGAAAAACACAATCAAAGAACCTCCAACAGATGACCATCTAGCCATAATAATAATAATAATAATAATAATAATAATAATAATAATAATAATTATTATTATTATTATAGGCGACAGCAGGATTGAAGAGAAACAATTTGGAAAAGCTGACACTACCTCTGGCCTTTTTGATTTATTGGGTGGGAAAATGGCAGCAGCAGCTACATTGGCACTTTCCATTCTCCTTGGAATGATCCTCAACTTATGCAGGGGTCATATCAAAATCTGTAATTTTGGCCTCAAAAACTGCCATCGCCTTATGCATGAGGTCCACTTATACACAAGTATCTATAGTAAAAGATAATTTTCCCTCTCCTCATGCATTCTCAAAACATGGTCTGGAAGGCTGGTATGCCATTCAAAGCAGGTTTTCAGGTGGCCCAGAGAACTGCAGTGAGGGAAAGAAAGAAAAGTTAATCATATTTAGTAATGTAACATTATTTTCTTTTTAAATTAAAGGTTATGAATATTGAAATCCCAGAAATTTAGGGCACAATCTTCCCTGGTTCAGCATATCACACTATCTTACTCCCCCACAGCCATTCTGTACCTGGTTGAGAGTGTGCATGAGGGTTCAGGTTAATTGGTTTATTTTGCTATAGTCAACCATGAACAGATCACATCATCTACTGAGGTCCTCAGGGATCATCCAGAAGTTTCAGTTGCTGATGTAATCATTTCCCATGTAGCTACAGGGACATAACCAAGTGCTTTTGCAATTTGCATGCTCAGCTGCTCTCCAAGCATTGAATGGCCATGTGTTCAGTGAGGGGTTTCAGCAGTTCTGCAAAAAGCCCAGGGAGAGGGGAAAACGCAATATAATCTCTGTGGTGACCAAAAATAGACATATACAGGCATATGGCTAATGGGATGCCTGCCTTCTGTGTTTGCATGTGTACACAGACTTCATTTGGAAAGTTCTAGAGGTGAGTAGCTTGGAGGTGAACCTGCCCCCTGCTGCCTGTCACACATACCATGTATACATCTATACATTTTAGTTTTTTAAAAAACCAAAAAGCCTAGGATGACTTATCCATGAGTCATTGTTAGTACTGTAATTTAAGTCTTTTCAAAAGGAATCATATTCTCTCTGAGTGGTGAAGGTAAGAACTTAATTTGCCACAGGAGAATCTGAAATAAGCAGCACCTGTACCCACTCTTTCCATCATCGTGCTGCTTCTGGCCTTTTTGAATGCCTGGTGGGAAAGTAGTAGTGGTTTTTTTGGGGGGGGGGGGTTTGTCGTGTCAGGAGTGACTCCTGGTGTGAGAGAATTGGCCGTCTGCAAGGACGTTGCCCAGGGGACGCCTGGATGATTTGATGTTTTTATCATCCTTGTGGGAGGCTTCTCTCATGTCCCCGCATGAGGAACTGGAGCTTTTAAAAAGGAATCATATTCTCTCTGAGTGGTGAAGGTAAGAACTTAATTTGCCACAGGAGAATCTGAAAGAAGCAGCACCTGTACCCACTCTTTCCATCATCATGCTGCTTCTGGCCTTTTTGAATGCCTGGTGGGAAAATAGTAGTGGGTTTTTTTGGGGTTTTTTTTTTTTTTTGTCGTGTCAGGAGTGACTCCTGGTGTGAGAGAATTGGCTGTCTGCAAGGACGTTGCCCAGGGGACGCCCTGGATGATTTGATGTTTTTATCATCCTTGTGGGACGCTTCTCTCATGTCCCCGCCTGAGGAGCTGGAGCTCATCTGCCTCTCCCCGGATTCGAACCTGTGACCTGTCGGTCTTCAGTCCTGCCTGCACAGGAGTTTAACCCACTGCGCCACCAGGGGCTCCTATAGTAGTAGTAACAACCAGGGTAACAATCTGAGGTGGCATTGGTGCTTCTGTGGAAAGACCCTCAGTGTATACAAAGGTTTTGAATCCAAAACCTGCTCTTGACTTGTACATGATGTTGACCTATACATGAATATAGACCAGTCGTTCTCAACCTGTGGGTCAACTCCCGGAAATCCTAACAGCTGGTAAACTGGCTGGGATTTCTGGGAGTTGTAGGTCAAAACACCTGGGGACCCACAGGTTGACAACCACTGATAAAAACTATATTCCAACCCACCTATAGAGTTAAGATATGCTGTTCTCCAGGTACTTCAGGGAAGAAGTTGCTCACACTTGACTTTATACTTGCAGAAACTAAAGAGGTTTCCAGTGTATTGTCTTGATAGGTGTTCATGGGATCAGTTATTGTGGATGGGGTAGTATGTTAAGGGAAGGTTCCTCCTGCCTTGGAAAAGATGGTGGTGTGTCCTTCCTTGAAGAAGACCTCTGTTTCCAGGGGTATGTGAGAGCTACTATCTGCTTGCAAATTTTCCCTTTTAGGAAACGTGCTTGAGTACATTCAGGTGTTCTTGGAGGAAAAAGATTATCTGGGCCCATTTCTGTCTAACTTGAGCTGAGAATATAGCACTGAAACAACTGTATACTCAAACTGATAACCTACTCCCGAAGTGTTACCCTGTTGATCTACCTGAATCTCACAATGGCTTTTGATACCATTGTTCATAGTATCTTACTGGACCAGTTCTGTAAAATGGGATTAGGAGGCATTGTTCTTCTGTGGTTCTTTTCCTATTTGGAGGGCCTGTTCCAAAGAGTTGCATTTGGGGATTTCTGTTCAGTACCATGACTGTTAAGGTATGAGGCGTCACAAGGTTTCAACTCATCCCCCATGCTGTACAGTATCCATATGAAGCAGCAGGAGGGAGATGCCATTGGGTGGTTCTTGAGTCATTAACTGGGTCACTAATTGTCTTGGATGAACTAGTCCCCATGAGAGAGCAGGTTTGGAGCTTGGGAGCGCTCCTAGAGTTTAGGACTGATACCCATCCATGTCACTGGAGGCCCAAGTGGTCTCTATTGTATAAAGTGTAAGGCACTGACTGGTGCACCAGCTGTTGCCATTACTCGATGGAGATAACCTAGCCACAGTAATCCATGCAGTGGTTGGACTGCTATGATGCACTCTATCTAATTCAACCATTTAAGACTATGTGGAAGCTGCAGCTACTGCAAATTGCAGCAGCTCAGTTTGCTGATTGTAGTACGATATTGTAATAACAATAACAACAACAACAATTTATATACTGCCCTGTCTCCCTGGGGAGACTCAGGGCGGTTTACAACAAAAGTAATAAAGGGACAAACATTCAATACCAAAGCGAACAAACAACAAATCAACTGGAGCTTCTGTGGCCTGCTGAAGGCTGACGACGAGCCCTTCTTGGACCCGGCCTGCTGAAGGATGATGACGAGGCCCTCCAGGGCCCAGCTTGGTGGAGGGCGATGACGAGGTCCTCCTTGGGCCTGTCCTGGTGGAGGCCGATGATGAGGCCTTCTTGGGCCCGGCCTGGTGGAGGGTAATGACGAGGCCCTCCTGAGTCCAGCCTGGTAGTGGCTGATGATGCGAGACCTTCTTGGAGCCGGCCTGCTGAAGGGCAATGATGAGGCCCTCTATTGTAGCAGTCTTTAAATGAATTGCATTGGCTGCCAATATATTTCTGGTTCAAATTCAAGGTACTTGTATTGACATTTAACACCTTAAATGATTTGGGACCTCAATATTCGAGGTCCCCATATATGCCTGTCATTATTGAGTTCCAGTGTATTTCAGGATTATCAGTGGTATAGTGAAGAAGCCCCCTGTGGCGCAGTGGGTTAAACCCCTGTGCCGGCAGGATTGAAGACCGACAGGTCGCAGGTTCCCTCTGTCAGCTCCAGCTCCTCATGTGGGGACATAAGAGAAGCCTCCCACAAGGATGATAAAACATCAAATCATCCGGGCGTCCCCTGGGCAATGTCCTTGCAGACAGCCAATTCTTTCACACCAGAAGCGACTTGCAGTTTCTCAGGTCGCTCCTGACACGACAA